GGGGGGGGGGGGGGGGGGTTCAGGGTGTAGAGTTCAGAGTCAAGGGTTCAGGGTGTGGGTTGCTGTACGAATTTTCTAAATGCTTTACGGGATTCTAAAGGGACCCCAGCTAAGCGAGCTACCCACGGAAAAGGAGGTCTTAAGCTTTGCAGTAGCTGGTGTTGAGCAAAACCCTAAAGCCTAAACCCATAANNAACCCTTTAAACCCCTAAACCCCTAAAATCTAAACCCCTAAAGCCCTAAACCCCTGAAGCCTTAAAGCCTGAAACCCAAAGCCCTTAAACCCGACACCCCGTGGGAGCCGAGGAAGCAAGTCAACTTCAACCAATGGGAGCTCCGGGTTGAAACCTTGCAGATGACTTGTCGCTGTAGGGTTTAGGGTTAAGAGTTTACGGTTAGGGTTTAGTTAGGTTTTAGGGTTTAAGGTTAAGGGCCATAGGGTTACAGAAAGTACCGTGGGGCCTGTGTTTGTGAATAGGCAGGTCTAACGATAGTAGGGCTTAGGGCCTGTAGGGTTTACGGGTTTTAGGGATTAGGGTTTAGGGTTCAGGGTTTTATGATTTGTTGTGCTCAATGGATCAGGGGACGTGGTATGTAGGATTCTTGCAAGGGTTTTTGTAAGAGATTCATTAAGGCGGGGGTGTCGGGTTCCTTCAATTCAAAAGGCTCTATGAGGGATCTATAAGGGAAAGGGCACTTACTCGGGTTTTGCATAAGGTAAGTATAGTATATTTTTAATACTTCTTATAACCCCAATCAAGGTCCTGATAACATTACTTAGTTACTTGCTACGTTCCCTGATCCTCCAGGTGCTCGTTGGTACAGGTCTAGGACCGTAGGATTTAGAGATTTGCTCAGGGCCTACGATTTGGAGGGCTTCCTGTTTAGGGTTTAAGATTTAAGACGTAGCGTTTTGGGTTTAGGGTTTATAGAGGGTTATATAACCCAAGTCGACTGCTAACAGACATGAGATTCCGCACAAAGATGCGTTGGTCAGTAGTCGGGCAGTTAGTAGCATTGGATTCTTCTCCTGCTCCGTAGTTAGATGCGCCATGATTAACTTGGCAAAGAAGCCCACAGATGACGTGGAGCCCACTCCCAAGACCTGAAAGCAAAACGCTCTACACCCTAAACCCTAAACCCGAAACGGTAGCCCCTAAATGTCGCATTAAAACCCAGAGTTTCAATCCTCTAGACGCTCAGCTTGGTACACCGACACTCCCAAACCCCGATCCCCCAAGCCCCAACGCTGAAAAATCCTTGCTAAATCCTTGAGGTATACACAAACCTAAACCCTAAACCCTAAACCCTAAACCCTAAACCCTAAACCCTAAAACCCCTAAAACCCCTAAACCCTATAAAAAGTTCATGTGCGCAAAGAGAACCCTATAGGATTTAGCACTCTGAACCCAAGAAAAGCCAGGAGCTCAAGGCGCTTCGCCACTTCAAAGTGCTGGGCCCCGCGGAGCACGACGGAGATATCACCCGGGCCAAGGTGCGAAGAAGGGTAGGGTTTAGGGTTTAGGGTAGAGGAGTCCTGTGGCGTTTAGGGTTTAGGGGAAGCCGTCTTTATACATAAAGGCTCGATTAAGGTTCATATTATTCAACACGTTTGTCTTTTCCATAGGGGTTCCAAAACGACTTTACAGTGGTTTTGTAAGTAGGGAGTGGGGTTTTTTCGATTTAAGGATCCGGCCCCAAACCCGAAACCCTAACCTCGGGGTTTCGGGTGGATTGAAAACTTCCGAGCTGTTGCCATTCTAGCGGTTCAGGGTCTGGGCTTTAGAGATGCAGTGTCCTAGGGGTTAGTTTAGGGTTTAGGGTTTAGTCGAGGGTTTAGGATTTAGTTTAGGGTTTAGGGTTTAGGGTCTAGGGTTTAGGGTTTAGTTCAGGGTTTTTGGGGGCCGTAAGAGCTTGCTCTTTGTGAGTGCGACTGGCTTGTGGCCGCATCGCTGCAGCACCGGTCTGCTGTTGGGTCAGGATTCGTTTTAAGTACCAAACCTCAGCCAGACCCCAGCCCAAAACCCTAAATCACTACACCCGAATCCCCGAAACCCCTAAACCCCTAAGCCCCTAGACCCCTAAACCCCTAAACCTCTAGACCCCTAAACCCTTGAAGCCTTATCTCATCACCAAATCCCAATGGAAATGACTCGCAGCGTGAAGCCCTCCAGAGCCCAGGAACACCAAGCGAGTGAAAACGGCTCACCAAACCCCGAACCCTAAACCCTGAGCCCTCACCGATCCCTTTAAGCCTTAAAGGAACCCTTATACAACAGCCCTTGGAGGATCCCTAAACCCTAAACCCCGAACCCCAAACCCTAAACCTTAACCCCTAAACTCGAACCGTGAGGGTTTCAATTCCCCACTCGGGCGCTCTCGTGCGGCTTGTCAGGTGGAGTGGGTAAACGACGAGACCTCGGAGGCGGCTATGAGTCCTGTCGCCTGTAGCTTCACCACAGGCTATCGGGGATCAGTAAGTTGGCAAGGGGTCTAGACTAGAGCAAAATATAGTTTCCTTGCTATATGGTAACTTAAACTGAAGCTCTTAAACAACAACTCAGGTCACTATGAGAGGTACGATGAGGGTTACCATAAGGTTTACTCCAAGGGGTGCTATAAGAGTTTTACAAGAGGGTTCCAGGGTTTCAGTTTGGTGTAGATGGTTCGGGGCTTTCGGGGTTTAGGGTTTCAGCTTTCGAAATTACAGCTCAGGATGTCGGTTTTCTAGCAGCCCTAAACCCTAAACCC